TAGTTTAAGAATTTTTGATGAAATAGTTTTCCCAGATATTGTACTTGAAAATCTAAGTATTTTGTGTGGAAAAAAATGTTTATCCCCCCCTAAGACGAATTCCTAATTACGCCACTGTATCCGACCTAAGATAAAATAAGTAGTATTTATGCTATATATTTACGAAAATTCAACGGATAAACCAAAAACTATCGGTTTCGTGAAGTACCATTTAAAATTAACAATAACTTATAAAAATTAAAAAATGTATATATATCAAATTCTAAAAAAAATTCGCGAATATGYAGTTATATGCATTATGTTAAAAATATGCAAAAAAAAATTGGTCCCATTTAAACGAGAATAAGCCAACTCGTGGACAAATCTGACAACCAATCAATTTGGACTTAAGGAAAAAAACATGCAAAAGCATATAAATCCTAGCCCTGCTTATTAGGTACCTATCCATAATTTTATATAATGGTGTACCTAATAGTTACTACGTTATAGTGTACCTTTCACGATAAAGTAGGTAATGAATACTATTGATTTGTTTTATTACTAATATGTATTATTATTACTGAATAAGTGTCAGTTTTAATTATTTTATTTGTCATTCTAGTTACTTAATGAAGTAGGTCCCCATAATTTTTAAAAATCCAGTGACTAATTTTATTTAAATGTATCGACTATCGAGTATCTAGTATCGCGATATTCCAAAGCCAAGTATCTAGTATCTTGTATCGCGATACTCCAAAGCAAAGTATCTTGTATCTAGTATCTCAATACTCCTTTTTGAGTATCTTGCCCAACCCTGTATACGCGCATGCACAATGCTACCTTAAATGRCAGCCCAATTTTTTTTTCTGAAGATTCGGGTATGGTATTTTTTTTAAACGTTTATTGTACAAAAAGTTTTTTCTATTTACAAAACCGACCAACGTAGAGCAAGTCAAAAATTGGATTTATGCATATTTCGTGTTTAAATAATATTTTCATTTATAACCATTGAAAATAATGTGAAATAAAAGTGTGAAATAATTAAACATTATTTTTAGTGTATATTCGTCAACATTATTAATTAAATGTACAAAAAAAAATAGTTATAACGATTATAGTAGTATTAATATTATAATAAAGAATAATATGTATCAAATAAATTTATTGTATGAATTGTTTGAAGTTTTTGCSATCATGTTCTGAACATGATTTCAGTCGTCTCAAAAATTCAATCGATGTTGACACCATTATTTGATCCTCAATTAAAATATCTACCTGTATTTTGTTCCATTTTATAGGTAAAACATACGTTTTCGARTTTCTAATGAAACATCATCCAACCGTCTTGGAAGTTCTTTGGTTAAAAAATTAAGATATCGTCTGCATTAAGCGTAACATCATAAAAGAACGGTCCTATTAGCTTTCTACCAATCTAACCACACCATAAAATAACAACCTTSACTGAATTTTWAAACGAATAGGTTTGATATTTCGCACTTATTTTATTATTTGCAGTGGTTATAAATTAAAATATCACTAAACAAGAATTATGCTTAAATCCAATTTTTGTCTGTCTCGATTTGGTCAGTTTTGAAAATAGAARAAAACTTTTTACATACAATAAATGTTTAAAAAAATACTCTACCCGAATCTGGGGAAAAAAATTTGGGTTCCCATTTAAAAAAAGTAAGTTGTATTGCGCATGCGAGTATCGAGAGAACTCAACATTTGAAATTAATCTGAAAATATGTATTAAAGTATCACCTCCCGAAAACCCCATTTCAATACAAGGTTGCCCAGCTAAGATATTCAGTKGTACCTAATACCGTGATCACACTGTATACGTAAGTAGGTACCTAGCACTTTTACAATTTTGTGGTCAGTTGTCCGCTCGGACCAGTTACAACATGAACATTAAGTAACATTAAAATATATAAATTGGTATATTAAATTTTTTTTAAATTGTTTAGAAACAGTAAGAATATACCAATAAAAATAACAATTACAATGTATTTAAAACAGATAAGCAAGTAGATAGGTCGTACTTCCCGATTAATCGAATAAAATAATGTTATTGAACAAAGCGGCATTAATAACAATATTATAAACGATATTATATTTTTTGGTCCAACAACAAAATCATCAGAACAAAGTATCATAATAAATAAAATAAATCAACCACGATAGGCGAGGTGCTTTTCGCCATCTTGTTGTCACCACCTTGTTGTCACCACCGGAAATGGGTATAAAAGTTATTCGTCGCGGGGCATGTGAGCACCTGGTAACCGTTGTCACAATCGTCGTGGCCAGCCGCCGAGGTGTCATTGTCGTCCTGGTCGTCCTGTTGCCATATTTCACTCATCCGACGGTGCTGTTTGGCTTTCCAATTATTTTCGTCATCGCCGTGATGATGATCGTAATCGGCAGACGTCGGCTGTCGATATCGACGGTCAGAGGTCGTCAGGTCTTTAAAACCGTCATCATAATCGTGGAAGTTTTTCGACTTCATGACCTCGGCCTTAAACCTTCTACGGTTCATGGACTCAAACTGTTTGTCACTGTCACCATCGYCATCCYTGTTTCCGTTATGGTCGTCATCGATACTGGCGTCTTCATCGTCCTGCAGTTGATCGTCCGTCTGATAAATCGCCAGTGGTCGTGACGACGGCGGTGACGGTATAGGAGCCGGCGGTTGTAGCGAATCCATCGTCGGTGGTCTACCTGAGATTACGTCTGCAGCCGCTGTGGGTTTATGATGATCGTTTTTGAACTGCGGCCTTTGATCTTCGTGCGCTTGTTGAGTCCAATAGATGCTGCTCTCATCCACGGTGAAACTGTGACCACTTGCCGAGCTGCCGTTCTCTCCCGTCACGGAGTCTTTTACTGGGACGAAGAAAAAGTAAAAAAAAACGAAGTGAAAAAGAGTTTACATATATTTGTATGATTTTTTTAAATAGTTTTATTTATCACTTTATCAGTTATCACATCATAAATCTACCTACATTCTTAATGAAATTTCCTACTTTATACTTATATTAGGTGTAAACTTATAGAATGCTAAAACAAATTCAGGTACCAAAATATATTTAAAAAATATTGTCCATAAACAAGTATCATGCAATTAATGTTAGTTATAATATATAAATACATGTTATGCTTATTTGTTTTTAGGAAAATCTACATTTTATAGAATAAAAAAACTACGGTTAATTCGTTAAACTGACTTGCTAATACCGTCAATTTTAGCTTAAAAAAACATTGGGTAGAAAAATATGGGTAGTTTGTGTTTTCCGATTTAAATTATTCAAAATAATTCTAGAAATAAAAGATTTTAATTCATCACAAAAATATCTATAGTTCATACGGAACACTTTGAAAAATTCAATCTAACATAATTTTGAACTATACCTAGTTGAGAACTTGAAAACATGGTTCTAATAGAATCATTATTCAATTATTGAAAATAAAATAAAAATGGAAATTCTATAAGTAGACATTTTTCAGCTGAATTCAAATCATTTCTTAAGAAATAAAATCAGACAACGTTGAATCATTCATTTAAATCTTATCAAAATAATCAATATTTAGTATAGAGAATCTTATACAAATATGCGTCGAGTAATTGACATTTGCATATGCGTATGAGAGTGGAATTCATGGGAACACGCGACATCATTGATACCATGATATATGATTTAACCCACGTACGCAATATGGTCATTTACGAATAAAATATAGATACATACCGAGTGGTCACGTAAATGTTCTATTTGTTGCCCCTTAAATAAAAGGTATAGCGAGGCCCTTAAAGGCATASCATATGTTCAGGAGTAATATTTAGGCAATCTATAAGACATGTAATTTGCGTTGTGTCAATGTTTCTCAGTAAATGGACATTTGTGTATGTAATCTATTATAACTTTAAACCGTGGCAATGTCAATATGTCGTGGAAGGTTAAATATATTCTTTGATTGCATAATTATAGAAACTATTTAAAGTAGTAGTAAATAAACATACTTCTGATTCAATTAAAATTTCGAAAAATAATTGAATTTATAAAATTCTATTTGGAAACAATTTTTCTATTTATAATATCAGATGACTAAAATTAATAAAAATGAAATGCAATTAGCTAACGAAATTTTAAAAATAATTTCTTAATTTTAACGTTCAAAAATTAATTTGCTCAAATAGCTTAGATATTTTTTCAAAGAATATATACATATATTTAAAAAAATAAATAAAATGGGACGTTGCAAATTATTTGTAATTGGTCAGTGGTCTAAAACGCATGAAAAATGCGTGTGCCGCAATCCACAAAAATCTATATCGACTGTTTCTAAGGAATTCAATACAGGCATTTTTCTAATTAATTGAGAGCGTGTCATGTAAAATATTATGCGCGTATTATAATGCACGCATAACTTAATAACACGYTGTCATATTAAACAATAATTTTGTACAACGCTTTAAGTGTGAAAAAAAAATGTTAGATTTTTTGCAACTAATCAAATAAGGAAAATTAATAATCAAATATTTAGAATATCATTAAATCTATAAGTGTAGTATGTTAAACAAATATTTTTGTTGTATCAAGAGGACGGACGTTTCACTGTAACATACAGAAGTAGAACTGTAGACATACAACGATCAACGTTTAAGAGGACGCCACGTCCGCATGTGTTGCTTCCGTCTTACAAGTGTGTAGCGCAATGGGAAATTTTACGCTCAGTAGTTCTAATTTAACTCCGTTAGTTTAAACTTTAGAGTGAATTGACCTCTAATAAAACTTAAAGGTGACATTGTTATCTAGATTATCATATAGGATTTTTATTATAATTACATTTTAAAGCGAGTTATGAGTATTTTTAAAATTGTAAATTGTATGTCTTTAAATACACCTAACTCACTTTAACATTTAAGTAGGTATAATATAAATCTTCGGTAATAAYCTTGATAAAAATGTTACCTTTAAGTTATATAAGAAGTCGATTCACTCTAAATTTTAAGCTAACGGAGCTTAATTGGAAATGCTAATCGTTAAATTTGCTATGTTACGTACTTGTAAGACAGTGACGACACATGAGGGTGTGGCGTCCTCTTAAAAGATAGCGTTGTTACTTTGTTAGCTATATCGCCTCCGTCACGTCAGGCCGTAATTTTCTACGCGTAGAAAAAAATATAAAACCGCGGTTTTCTCATAAAACATACTTAGCACGTTAAGTAATATGGGTTACTAAGAGGTTTTATTGTAAAAACACCTATGAACAAAATTTAATAAATAATTCATATCTGGTTCTTTAAGTCCGATTTTTGATACCAGTAAAACTTTGTGTAATGTTTACTTCATGTTTAATCATGTCCGTTTTTTCGAAAGTTATATTTAAGACTTAAAATCAAAAAATTAAAAATCGAATCGGACTTCTTACGAAATTAGATATTAATCTCCTCTTAAATTTTATTAATAGGGGTTTTTACAATAATACCACTCGGTAACCTATATTCTTTGAACTCGCAAATGTGTTTTTAAAGGACATTTTTCGCAAACATATTTTGATGAGACATCCTCTTAAATTAAAAATTAATCGAAAGAATAAACAAAGATTAGAAAAATAATGGCTGAACATTCAATATGACTAAAACAAAGTATATGTTTATATTTGTAAATATATTTATATTTTCTATAAATTTTCTATATTTTCTATAAATTTTCTATAAATTTTCTATAAATTTGTGTGACACCGAAAGTGTCAACTATCACGTCATTTTGTGAGATGCTGGGAGGGTAAAATATTATTGTATTTTTCTGACCAATTTCACGTAATTGTTGACAAGACAATCAAACAATAACAAATATAACAACAATAACAATAAAATAAAACAATAACAATGATAAGATTAATGTTATTAACAAGGTGGATATATATATATATATATTTATCCACCTTGGTTATTAAGCTAGGTTAACCCTAGCAACAGACGATTAATAATAACAAAATTACTTTTCCATAACAACCTCATTATACTTTTTAGATTCTAAGCGTTACAATAATAATTCATGTTAAAATTATATTCATAACTTATTATTTCCTATATAAAACGAAACCAGTACCTAACCACAGAACATATACATGTACTGATGTATTTGTATGGAGTGTGAATACTCTCTCTTMTTTTTTTTTATACATACCTTGATTGATTGATTCTTTTTTTTTGCCAGCTTCCATTGACAATTTCATAAAGCGTTGGTATTTAGGCTGTTGACGATGCGACCAATGGTTTTTGTCAGCCATGTAACAACAGTGCAAAATTCCAGGATCTATAGGATGAGCCTCTAAATACATCATAAATATATATTTTATAAAAATTACAGAAAAAAAAAATTAATAGTACTAATTAAACTGAATGGTTACAATAACATAAACAAACCTATATAAATTAAACTTTCAACTAAAAACGAAATGTACAAACTCGTGTATTGATTGGATAACTGTAAAGGGTTTGTTAAATTTGAGATTAACAATAAATTATTGTAAACGGAAATACTATTCTGACCACAATATAAGGCTATCAAATAATTGAGCATACTTAAAAGTTAACAAACAACTCAAAATCTATCAACAAAAACTTATACTAATTAAACATGAAACTAGTATAACATTGGTACATAATTTATTTAGTAAGGGAAATTGTGTTTGACTTAGACAGAAGCACAAGTAAAAATTTATCAGTTGATAAAATAATTTTTATTCATATTTGAACATACAAACCAGGATGGTCAAGTTATTTCATTAGTTGTAAGTGATTACATATAACAGTAATGTTACAGATACAACAGTAGTCAGTAACTTAGTTATTGTTCAAAGTTGTTTAATTATTATTGTTTATTTCTTTAAGAAAATAATCACAGCACTAAATATTTATTTGAATGCACACTTAAAGAGCTCATGTAAGTTACATTTAAAAATAAAATTTAAAGCATTAATATTTAAATTTATTGAAACATTTGGTTGTACAATATAACAAAATGCAATTAACTAACAAGATGATATTACTTTTTCTCTTTTTATTTTATACATTTTTTTAAATTATTTAAAGTTATTATTGGGCATCCCATACTTTTGATTCCTTAACATATCATCTACAATATAGATCAAATTTTTTGCATGAATCACTTGTAATGTGTAAGATAAAATATTCTACTTCAAATTGAAATGACAGATGAAATAAAATAAAATTATAAATAATAATAAAACTATTACAATTCATACAGTATTATTGTCACTCCATTTAGAATCTAAAAAATAAGTTTAGCAATGTTATGAGACTAAGGAAGAAAGGTTTTTACCTGTGTTAAAAACGTATCCACCTGCGTCGACTATGCATTCTCGACCACCAGCTGTGTTCCAAACTTTACCATAACTCCCATCATTATGAATGAAGTTATCGGGGTCAAAAAGTAAATATAGGTACTTGGTTGTTTCTGAAAGAAAAAATGACTCCATTCTATTTTGAAGAGAATGTTTTTTGCAACTTTTAATCTAAAAACAAATTATTTTTAATTAATAAATTGAAGTTTTACAAAGTATCATTTTTACATTGATTTCATTAATACATTAGATATACTTAAATACATAATTTTGTTTTAGATTGAATATTCAATGTTAGTTTCCAACAGATTGCGATCGACTAGTCGATCTTAAGCAGTGGTCGTAGTGGGGGGGAGGAGATACAGTGGGATGGCATCCCTTCATTTTTTATAATTCACATTTTCCATCCTTCTACTTATTTTTTCCAAAATAATGTATCTTTACTATAATTATATACATATTTATATTTGATTTATATTGGAGTTTTTCATAAACATTTTATTTTATTACAATGATTTTTCAATTTGACTTACAATAACACAATGTCGTTTTTTTATATGAATTAAGTATTTTTACTTTCAWATAATTTTATATAATTATATTATTTAATGTTTATTTTGTTAGTAAATAGCAATGTAAAAATGCAATAGGCATGTTTTTATGTATTTTGTTTCTGAGTTATTACACTTATAAGTTTTATTATATTGTTTTAATTTAGTACTATGTTTTGTAACATGATAATGTCATCAGTCATTAATCATTAATTTGAAAGCTATTAATCTATTATATAGGCTATAAACTACCTATACTTAATAGTAATGTATAAAATATTTAGTTACTTTTTTTGTTTAATACAATACATACTATTAAAACTTATATTGATGAACTGCACATAGATAAATTATATATACATGTAAATATGTTGCAAGTTTTAAATAAAAATATAATTATATGTATATAAAAATTTAAATATATCAATAATTAAGACACCAAACTCAAAAACCAAAAATGAATATTAATACATACAAAATCGTATAAAAATAAGGACATAAGGTATAGGAGTACAACTCATCTCTACCTTCAATCACTTAGTGTGTCTACACCAACTAAACCATAACAATTAAGAAAATTATGAAAATTTGGGCATCCCTCAACTTATTTTAAGCAATTTCGACCATTGATCTTTAGGAAAATATTGATCTAGTATATAAAAAATTTAAATTAATTTTAAAAACCAATATTGGTTGATCTCATACATAATCTTTAACACTATTTTGTGCTTTATAGTTTATATATAAAGTAAAGTAATTATAAGCAAAGCAAAAAAAATACTTTTCCAATATAAAGATAATAGAATAACATGAATTTATTATTGTCATGTATGTAATAAAATTAAAAATAAACTAAATAAAAAGTGTTCAATCAGCAGATACTTGAAATTTTCAAAGTAGCTCAATAGTTGGAAAAGGTTGGCGTCAACCACTGATATAGAATATATTGATATATAATATAGTAGTATAATAGATGTAAGTGACAGGCGTTACTTCTTAAAATATGTGTTTAGCTTAAAAGCTAGTAAAAACTTAACTAAAAATATACACACAATTAATAGTGATATCTAGAGTTAATTAAAGGCATGCATTTTGTCTGTCAGTATTTACTATTAGTTAGTTTTTATCATTTTGTTTAATCAAAAAACCCAAAAACATTTTTAAAACATATGATATAGGTACTACAATTTCATAATCCAAACCAAGATAATTTTCTGAGGATATGTTTATGTTAAATTTAGAACAAGAAATTAATTAGTTATTATTATTTAAAATTATTTAAAATTATATAAATAATATGTACTATTTAATGAATCATATCTGAGTTAATTTAAAATAAAGCCAACAATTCAAATATAAAAATAACTATCTATGCAGCTTTATATAAAAACATAAAATAATAATGTAAATAGTAATTTTTGTTAATTTTATTATTGAATTAACATTTTTAGCTTGATAAAAAATATCATAGGATTATTATAAATCTATTAAGAATAAGAGGTTATCAGAACCTCAACAATTACTCAAGATATAGTTTGTATTAGATTTATTAGTAACTTTTATAAAATAATTCTGTCACATAAATTTAGTATATTTGAAAAATAGATATATTCAAACAAATTAATTTTAAAGTCAGAAAAATAATACTTAAGTATTTTAGGAGTGGAAGTAACTTTTGAGCATTTACTTAGTACARCTGGTGTTTTTAATAGGAAAATAAATAGATTATATATAAAAAAAATAATACTTGTTTTTTTTTTAACAAAAATATGAAATATTACCGTAGCATATCCACATCTTGTGCGGCTACTGTGTTGAATGGAACGTAGAATGTCACTGCCTATATCTAGTAAATAAGGATCTCCATTAGTTGCCTTGTATAAATACATGGCAGACTCCACTAGTTCAGGTCGCAGTGGGAATGAATCTCTAGAAGCCTCTTGATTGACAACATTGTAAACTTCAGGAGTAAAACCGTATAGTTTGAGTACATCATGATAATTTGACATCGATTTCATGGCAATATCTATATCACCTAAAATAATAGCTTATATTAAAAATATAATACAATTTTAACATATAATAATTAAAATTATAAAATCAAAGCAAATCGATAGTAGGGATTATAAAATATAAAATATCCGAATTATTAATGATATTAAGGTATAATTACCTATTAAACTTAAAAGCCCTGGCCAATATGATTCTAATGATTGAAATATGGGCATTGTTACTTGGCCCTTTTGCATGTTCACCCAAAAATACCACCCTGTAGAAGTTGCTGAGTATTTATCAATAGGCTTTCTTAACTCATCAAACATGCTTCTTAGATGAGGTAGGTTTAATAGCAAAGAGCCTTTAACTAAGTACTCAAAATATGAATCAATCCCACCACCAATGCCTGAATCATGTGCAATCCATAATCCAGAGGCTACGTCCAAATGATTCCCCATTAATCCTATTTTAGATCTATGGTTGAACAACGAATGAAGAGCTTTTAAAGCTACCTATCAAATAATAAAATATCACTTACAGTTATAATGTTTAAAATAATCAAAAGAGACATTTTTAGATATTTAAGATTACTTTTTTAATCTGGAATGTTAGCCAAGTATGTTTTAATAATTAATACATAAAAACCGTTATAATTAGGGGTTTAAAATAAAAGAACATTAACAGTCTTAACAGTTTTTTCATTTTTAAAAATATAAATGTTCTTAATCATATCTTTTTGACATGTCACATGTATATTTCTTATAGCTGAAGTCATTCTATAAATTTGTGCAACACTGACAGAGTTACTATTACGTCATCGTGTTGAAACGGGAAGCGTAAAATATTACAGTATTTTTCTGACCAATTAATAGTTGCTATAATAACTTAATAATAACAATGATTAAATTAATGTTATAGATTATTTAAAGTTAGGGCCAGTTGTACCGTCTATGGTTAAACTTTGATTATGCTTAATTAGCTGATAACTAACTTTTTGGCGTGCAAATTTGGCTGATTAAACTCCGGTTAAGTAAAAAGATGGTACAACTTTTAATGTTCCAAGGTTGACGCTAGCAACCCATGATTAATAACAATAGAATTGTGTTACCATAGCAATCTCATCATACTTTTAGATTCTAAACGTAATAATAAAAATTTTTAATTTATAATCTTATTAATAATAATAACTTCCTATGTCAACTGAGATCAGTAGCTGCAAGATATATACATGTACCGAAGTAATTGCATGGAATGTGGATGGATACTCAACATTTTATTATTGTTAGCTGATAGCTACTCAATTAAAAATGTATTCTTTATTATTAAGGTACAATCATAGGATTATGATAAAAAGGTTTTCACTGAGATTTACAATCAAACTACTATTCCAACTAAGGGATGGAAATAAAAACTGTTAATTATTTTCATAATTATAAAATATATATATTATGTGGGTTCAAAGCCTCTTGAAGTGCTATCAAAAATCTACTGACCAATGGCAGCAGTGACGGTTCTAAAAAATAATATGAATTTTCAAACTGTCCTTAGGATAACATTATTATATAGCTAAAAATGTACACAGATAGTTATTAAAATGGGGTAATATCATTGTATACAAAAAATGATTCTGAGTGAAGACGGTTTGTAAGTCTAGGATATTTTATACTATATTTATTAATTTAAAAAAAAAAATGTAGGTTCCTATAAAATAAATTACAAATTAATCCAATCAGATTCATTATATGTACTTGACTAATTCAGTCATTCATAATATATACAATATACTATAAAATGTTCAATTAATTAAAGCCATTAACAACATAAAGTATTACAATCAAAATATAAAGTATACTTAAAAAAWTTTTCAAGTACCCAAGAAAAATATTTTTATATTACAATATAACTAAAATTGTTATTCTTGGTTATTTAACATGTAATTTCATCCAAATTTAAATATAAAATAACTTTATAAAAAAAAAAAAACTATGTTTGTATAGACATTAGATTCTTGTTTCAGAATGAACTACTTATGTGAAACCTTGTTTTAAATTTTCAATTCTTATCTATAAAAGTTAAACGTTTTATTAATTTTTAATAACTAAATAGTTTGTAAATTTTCAATTGAATAAATTAAAAATATTTATAATCTGAAATCAATATTATAAACTATTTATTAGTATTCAATTTGCCATGAGTTTTTTTATATGATAATAATATCATAGGTAAATAACAAGGATTCAGAAGGTGATTTAGAGTTCATATTTGCTTACAAAATTAAGTTCTTAGCAACTTTGCCTTTTTTGTGACCTTAGGCAGTTTAATACTTGGACTCTTGTGTTTACTTGAAAATTAATGGGATATACATACCAAATTAACAAAACAATGAAATTTTTATTTACAATTAACCTATTATTTTATAAAATGATATCATATTGTCAACTCTGGACAAAAGAAAATTGGGTTGAAATGGTTTAATAATAGTAATAAAACATTTCTAATTTATTATGTAAAGTTATTCCTAAAATTAATGATTAATTTTTTTTAAAACATTAAATTTCTATTAAGTATTTTATACATAATATAYAAATAAATTCCTTATTAAATAAAATGTATTTTAGATGTATCTATTTTATGAATTCTTTCATAATCTATAGCTTATAACTTTCACCATAATATATCCATCATACACATAATAAATCAATGGTATATTATATATTAAATCTTACTTATTATAGGTATCAATATTAGGCATTAAAAATAATATTGATGATTTTTGACACTAAGTAGTATTATATAATAAATTATTAAAAAAATGTATGCATAATTAAATACTCTGTTTATGTCCAGAAGTATTAAAATACCTATTATATACACTTACTTACATCGGATGTAAATTAATTTTTAGTTGACCTATAATGAACTTATCTATTATACATAAGATTTATTAGGGTATTACTTATGATAGAAAATAATTTATTATGTAGTAGTAGGATTATAATATGGTGTAATTTATATACAAAATCAGAATTAGAAGTTTAATCAAACTGCTAATACTTAATTAACATTAATCAAGATAAAAATTCTAAATGTAAAAATTCATTTTAAAAATAAATATTGAAAAATATATACAATGGTTTTAAAATTATACGTTCAACATTTAATGTCTTATCATTATGTGCTAAAAAACCTCGATTATTAAATAATATTTAAATGTTTAGTATGTTTCAAAATATCTTCAATTTAGATTTATAAAAATGGGAAATATTTTTTAAATTTATCTAAAATTTTAAAAAGCTTTTTCTGAAAAATAAATTTTAAATTAAATAATATCTTACTGTATTTGTCATTGTAAACACTTTTTTCTAACTATCTTTTAATATTATTATTTTACTATTTTTTGTACTGCAACCACAGAAATGAAATTATTAATTTATGATAAGGGTTTTCGACCTATGTTGTGGCTCCCAGGAGTGTCACCAGTAATCATCAAGAAAGCTGAGAACACTTTAAATAATTTAAATTTATTCATTTTATTAAAATTATTATCTATCATTATTTTAACTTTTTTCAGTTAAGAGTACGAGTACAGTAATTTCAAAAAAAAATAAGATACAATTAAAATTCATAATCAAACAAGTATTTAGTAGAAACTAATAATTTATCTTTACAATTTATGAAAAAATTAATTATACCAGTTTAAAAATCATTAAAACAATATAAAAATATAAATAATTTCCAAAAATGAGTTATTATATAAAATACTATAAATGGCAACAAATATTGTGGAACACCCTATTTATAAATTAATTTAATACTTAATATTTTATGATCCAAATATTTTTCTAAAACATTTGTATCTAAGATACACATTTAGAAGATAAAATTGACTTAAGTTTATTATGAATTTATATGAATAGGTTCTATATATTTCTTATTTAACTTATTATTTACCACTATACTTTTTAACAGTTCACTTAAATTGTAACTTCAACTGAATTCGATAAAAATCAATCATATTTTAAAATATTGCTGAATAATAATATTATGGTAAACTTAAATTACATATGGTTTACCTGTTCAWAAATAAAATCGCCAGTTAGTCGGGACAAAGTTCCAAATTCTAATATGAATGTACCAACTCCTGCTGTACAAGTTACAGTTGTTTCACCTTCGGGTACACCAGATCTAAGATTAACTGTTCCATAAGGCATACCAGTTGGAGTATCAAATGCTGGTAAAAGTCTTCTAGCTACATCTTCAGCCATACGTAACAGTGGTCCATTACACGGCCATCCAATTTCTAATTCAGTTGTGGCTCTACAAGCAAAGAACATAATTATTAATTAAAAATAGTAATAATTACAAATAGTTGTGTACTGTAATTGATTTTGAGTTTGAAAAATAAATATATCATACCTATGAGATAACATATGAGCACTTAGCAGTCCACCAACAACTCTGATGTTTGTCTCAAAAACTGATACATTTATATCAGCATCAAATGAAACATTGTATTTTATGTAATCAACCGCCTTATTAAATTCATCATGTAGTCCCATTACAACAAGAGTATCTAGGGCATCGATCAATGATAATGAATAGCTATAAATAAATCATAACATGCGTATTAATTATTATACAATATTAATTTTTAAAACGATTCTGAAGAAATGTTATACTATACACCTGCCCCAAGTGTCCACTCCATCACATGTCAATGGTCGTAACTCATCATAAGGATAAGCATATTTCATATAGCCGTAATATGCATGTTCAAACATTTCTTTCACTTCCGATCTTTATAACACAAAAAACAAATTTAATTTTTCTATTGGCTTGAATAAAAATTAGGAAATCCTAGAGACACACCTCAACTGTAAGAGACGGTGTCTATCATAATGACGTGAACACGAGCCGTATCGAATGAGCAGTAAAATCACCAATGAGAAATGAAACGAAAACTTCATTTTTTTGCTTTAAAAATATAACATTTAAAGGTTATGTGGTAGGACGTGTCAAATACATAAGACATTATAATCGTTACTCATTTCGGTGTCATCGAAACAGATTTGTGCAGTTGTCGTATGCAAATACGAGTGAGTGTATGACTAGATTAATAAACAACATCAAACGATAATACTTGTACTATACAAATAATAAATAAATTTTAAATTTTAATCGGTAAAATATAAAACTGTTATCAGCAAACATATACTATTTCATACGTAATGTCGTAATATCTATGGGATAGTAAAATAAATAAACAATAACAATAAATTATTATAATCAAACATTACTTCTGATAAGGCGTCTACTATATCATTTTTTGTACGTGTCTTTCTTACCGCCACAACGATAAGGAATACTGTTTGACGGCCGACTGATACCGTCCGTCGCGGCGTTTCATCACCGACAGCTCGTTCTGTTACTCGCCTCATTCGGAATTTCGTATAATATGGTTTTATCGATGTTTTAAGCACTCACCTTTTCACCTCGTAAACATTAACATGACGTGTAAGTGTTAACGGCGGGGATTGCGATAATAATAACTAAATTGCATCGGTTCGTCGACGATGTTTTGTATGTGTGGCTTGTTGTCACTCCCAGTGCAAGGAATTCTCGCCGTCATAGTGAGTAGTCGTGTTTTTCGTCCGTTCTCACATTTCAATATTCCACTCCGTGTTCCAGGTGCTGTTGATGACGTTAGTGTTCTGGATGTTGTACTTTAAGGACTCTCCTTATGCACGAAAACATAGGTCTGACGATGAAAAATACTTCATGGACGAAAATGCCAGACAAGTGCCGTTCCCCAGTCTGGAGGATGAATACTCTTTGGATTTGTCAATCATAGTGCCAGCGTACAACGAACAAGACAGGAGTATGAAAGATTTATCTACCTATCTATTTTGTTTGTTTTAAAATATTTGTGTTTAGTACGGCCTATGCTCGAATCATGCTTACATTTCTTGACTGATGTCGGTCGAAAATGGACGTTTGAAGTGATTGTTGTTAGTGATGGGAGTACCGATGGAACATGTGATATTGTCATGGAATATATGCAACAATATGGTTCTGATCGTATACGCCTTTTAAAATTATACAAAAATCGTGGAAAGGGAGGTGCCGTTTGCTTGGTAGTAGAATTATTGAATTTTTACTAATTAATGATATGACAAATATCAAATTATTATCAAATGTTCTCATACAGGGAATGCAAAGTGCACGTGGACGTATTTTGTTGTTTGCTGATGCTGATGGTGCTACAAAGTTTCAAGATATAGAAAAATTAGAAACAGCATTACACTTCTTGGCAACAAGTAATTATAAGAGATATTAGAGATATTTTGTACTTATATAAATATATATATATATAAATTTAGAAGTAATAAGTATGTGAATTAGGTTTATAAAAATTAAAATACTAATAGAAAAAGAAAGTCAAAAAACCAAATAACAAATCAAATATCTATGAAATATAGTATATATAATTATATTTTAGCGTCAAAGTATGAAATAGTAATATAAAATACACATGTAGTGTTGTCTCAGTTTCATACATTTTATGTAACATAACAGATACATTTAACTTTGTTAATTTAAAATTTAGAGTAAACTGATTTCTTATGAAATTAAAAATTAACATTTTTTTCTAGTCAATATCATATAGGCTTTTTATCATGTTTTTAAATTTTACTCGAGTATTTAAAGATGCACAAACAGTTTACAATGCTATGGACTAGCGTCCCACATTGTCTAGTTCACAGTCAACTAGGTACCAGTCGAACCAAACTAGGGTAGGGTGCGACCAACTTTGTAATTGTAGGGAAGAAAGCATTTCGTGGAAATCATTAACATAAGGAAAATACGAAATCATCTGGTCATACGACTATAAAAGATTATTAATAGGTGTGCACAGGACGTGGGGTTATGCGTTAGTACAAAAGTTACAAGAACCAATGTTCAAATGTAATATCATAATATATATTTTTACATAATAATAATATAAATTATCGAGGTCTGCAGCTGCACGGGATGCGCATTTAGCTCGTATGTGGGGGAGTGGYATTTCCGTTAGTTTAGATTATTATACCACATCCGTGAGAACAGCGACAAGAGCAAGTAGACTATTGGGAGTAGAGGGTAATACTATATAAGAGACCCCGAAACGGCCTGTATTCAGACTCGACTTGACCAGACTAGCCAGAGCAYCTTCACGCCAGTCTGTTCTATAATTAATTAAATTGGACTTAGGCAAATTCTCGTAAAATAATATTCTGAACTTAGAAAATATTCGAGACAAACCAAATTTATTCCAGCCATTCAGAATACTTAATTTGTTAAATAAAATTCAGTTTTCATGTTTATAAACAAATATATGTTTTGTCAAAATAAATAATAAACCAGTCTAACTAAAAAGAATTAAACGCTGTTTAAATTAACTCAAGAGTCACCTTCCAACATCATCCTTGACTACTAATACCTGTAGGCGACGTGATCGCTACAACAATAATAAAATACTCATCAATCAATTTTAAATTAAAATATGATAAAAATTCTATGAGATTGACTAGATAATAAGCTTACTTTTAAATTTTATATGAAGTCAATTCACTCAATTACTAAGTTAAATATGATTTTTTGAGCATACAATTTGATATGTTACACACTTGTAAGGCCAAGACAACGCATGCTAATTGTCGCATTCTCTTAACATGTTGTGGCCAAACAAAAATTGGTTCTTCTGCGCATCAATGTAAATATACATTTTAACTACTACTTGAATTGAAAGTCATTGTCCCGAAAAATATGTATTATTTATTTAAATGCCTGATAATACTTTTTCTAATTATTCTTAATGTATTCACCCAAGTCTATAAGTAAATTAAATTTTTAATTATCATCACATAATACAAATATCTTGTCAAATTAACAAATTAAAAATGATTTGACTTTCAAATTCAAATCCAAAAAATACCATAAATATCAATAAATGCATAATAAAAATTAATTATTTAGAATATTTAGATTTGTATTGTATGTTGTTGAAACACTTTTAGTTATACAAGTTAACAACATTCAAACCCTAGTTATTAAGATATCATTATATTTTAGATATAAATTATATAAGATAGGTAATAATGTTATATGTTAGTTATAGTGATAACGGAGTATTGATAATAATGTGCACGGATCAGGGTGGTTTTGATCAGCTCGTACAACTATTAGAGGAAGTGTGTGTTGTCTCAATCTTACATGTCATGAAAGACACTATGGCATAAAAAAATTCTGTTCACCAGTTTCTATAGCAGTGGTTCTCAAGCTTTTTTGGTTCACGGCACATCATTATACATCACAAATTTTCGTGGCACACTCAACACAAATGTAATGAAATAAATTACTGTTTTCAATATTTTTACCAGCATAATTACAAATATCAGAAACTTCTCGCAATGCACCTAGTCGATCTCTCGGCACAGTATTGTGCCACGGCACACCGGTTGAGAACCACTGTTCTATAGTATGCTTATAGTTTTGATGTTTGAGTGAATTAACCTGTTATAAAATTAAAAGCTTAAATTATTATCTACAGCCCCAATTAGGCTTTTATTGATATTATTATTTTTTAATTAATTAATAATAATTTTAAAATTTAATCAAAATAGGTCAATTCACTTAATTTCAAAACCAATAGCACACTATTAAAACTGGTTAAATGAAAATTTGGCATGTCTAAGATGGAGGCAACCTATGCTGGTGCGACTTTGATAATAACAATGATGCACACAGTTAAGTAGTTCTTTAACTCTGTAAATATGAATTAATATGTGTAACATATGAAATCCATTTTGCTTTAATTTGCATCATAATACTATTATATTTTATTAAGACTACACTTCAAGGTTACTTATCCCCGGTCATTTATATTTTTATTGAAATTAAAAATGGAAATGATCAAGATTAAAAAAAAAATATATTAATACAAGAATGGTATAGAGCAGTGGTGCCCAACCCGCGGCCTGCGGGACACATGTGGCCCGCGAAGATATTCTGTGTGGCCCGTCACAAATTTTTAAATAAAACAAAATATTCTAAAAAAAATAAAATTATATTTATTTACTTTATAAAAGTAATAATAATAATAATAAAATCAAAATAAATGTTAAAACGTTTTAAACAAAATATTCAAAAAAAAGTAAAATTATATTTATATATTTATTTTGTTACAGTAAAAATAAAAATAAAACAAAAAAATGTTTAATGTGAAATTTGAACTTGAGTTTGCTTAACTAATAATGAAAAATCTGGTTCGAATTTAGTTGTTCCAATCCTCATAATTGAATGTAGGTGTTCATTCGTGAGTCACGATCGATGAACTGATTTAATTTGTTTCATTCGCAAAAATAATTGTTCACAAATACACGTCGAGCCAAATACAGTTGTCATTTTCATTATAACGTTTCTTAAAACAGAAATCTTCGTATGGAAGTTGAGAATAAAATTTTAAAATATCATTTTTTTTTCATTTTTTGAAGTTCATCACAACAAAATGAGTTTGTTTTCAACTCAATAAATTCAAGTTGAAGAGCTATATTGACATCATTTTCATCGATATTAAATGGATTTTCAAATAAACGCAACATTTTGTGATGTAGTTAAACGTCTGAAAATTGAGATTAAACTATATACTATAGAGTTTAATTTTATTCAAAATGCCATCAATGTCAATCTTGTAATAATCAGTAATATGTATTTCATGTTTAAAATGTATGTAATTTACAAATCAAAATATATCAAAAAAATTGTAATATTATATAAAAGTTATTATTATATCTATTATTTTCATGTATCTATACACAAATTGACAATTTTTTTTTTTATGGATTTTCGTTTTGTTCTATTTACATGTGAAACATATTTCAAACATACAATTTGTTATCGTTCCTGAATACTATTAATATTTTTATGAAATTTCTAGATATTGTATTATTTTATTTTAGTTTAATTTAAATCAGTATGTTAAATTATAAAATGAGAGCTTTCTTTTTAAATGATAACATATACATGCCTGATATTTTATATTTAGTTTATTGGTTATGGAACTTCTATCTTATCCAACAACTGATTTTCTGTTGGGTTATTAAATTGTACTTGTGTTAAATTAATTATTGTTGTTAATCTATCACAAATTACTACATTGTCTAATTTTTTATAAGAAATCTTTAAAATTCCCATTTAATTTTTTGTTTATTTTTTTGATCTAACTAGATGATATTGCTGAAAGTACTAAACCGGTTTATGCAGTTGTATGTGGCTCACGTGCCCACTTGGAAACAGAATCTAAGGCTCAAAGAAGTGTATTCCGTACTTTCTTGATGATGTGCTTTCATATGCATGTCTGGTTATTTGGAGTACGTACTATCAAAGACACACAATGTGGCTTTAAACTATTCACTCGGCCAGCTGCAAAAATTTTGTTTAATAATTTACATGTTGATGGATGGTAGATATAATTAATATTATAATATTTCTAATAAAACACGTAAACTACTAAATTTTATTGTTATTTTTAACTTACATTTGTTTTGTAATTTATAAGGGCTTTTGATGTGGAAATGTTGTACATAGCTGAAAAGTTGAAATTTAAATTAGCAGAAGTACCAGTTCATTGGACTGAAATTGAAGGTAATACAATATAATTAAGTGAAATCTAATTTTTATGATATTAATTCATTTATTTTATGCAGGCTCCAAAATAGTACCTGTTTGGAGTTGGCTGGAAATGGGTTGTGATGTATTAGCAATATGGCTTAGATACCGTACTGGATCATGGAAAATACACAAATAAAGAAGAAATAACCTTACATTTCTACATCRTTTATTTTTTTCTCTAAAGTTATTAGAACAATATGTAAATTGCATACTTAGTTGTGTGTAAAAAGTTAACAAATAATTTATTATAAAGAATTTTCATAAGACTATATAACAAATATTTCTTCATCAGAGTACAATTGTGATAAATGAGAAAAAATGTATTAGAGACATTAAAAGACATAAAAAACTGAATATTATTAAGTTCAATTATTATTGCTTTTTACCTTGAAGACAATATAGCACACAGATTTGAACTCTAATTTAATTATTAGATTTTGGGAATAAGTTCCTTATAATATTATGTGAATTATGAAATAGAATTAAGCTTATTGTACAAAAAATATGGAAATAAATCTGATAAATTATGAATTCCGTCCAAAATGACGGATTAATATATTTCAAAATGCATTCCATTTGTTATACTTATATTACAAACATTTTGAAGTTAAAGAATTAAATATATAATAATAATGTTTCCTATTTAATTGTTAATATAATAATATATTATATTTACATTTGTTTATATAATACACATAAAAAAAAAATGAATTAGATAAATTAATACCCTAATATTATAAAAATCTATAAATGTTTAAAAGTATTAATTCTAAATATAATATAAATATATTTATATCTTATAATCTGTTATTTTATATAGGCCATAATGAAAATTATTCTATTAACAAAAAGACTAGGATGTTTGCAAACTACTTATTATTTTATTTTGCTGTTTTATTCTTTAGACTTGCTGCATATAGACTAACAACAGATAGGCGTTTTAAGAACTTAAATTATTCTATAGTATAAGTAATAACCATTTTACTTATTTTATTTTAAATGTACTTAATTTCTTGTACAAAAAAAATAACAATAGAATTATTATAATATATTTATTAGTACATAATTTTTATATGTATAGCAAAACCAAATCTAAACCACTATAATATGAAAGAAGTCTTATTACTAAATATTTCATGTTTAGGTTAGGTTTAGATTTAAAAATATTTTGTCAAATTCTAAATAATCTAAACTTCACTATTAAGATTATATGTTATAAACTTTGCCAAATAAATAAAATAATTCTATTGCTCTTTTTATTATACAAGTAGTAAATTACCATTCAATTAAAGTAAGTAAAATTATTAATAGGAATTAATATATAATAATTGAAGTTCTTAAAACGCTTAACTGCTGTTAGTCTGTACACAATAAGCCTAAAAAAAACAGCAGACCGTTTGGAAAAATAATAAGTGGTTTGCTAACAGGCTACCCCGTTGCAAAGAACCTAGTGTTTTCGCTTAAAAGCCAATTTTCCATTTGGCCTGCGACATATACACCATAAACTATATAGAATAAGCATCTTACACCTTTAAATATTAGATGGAAATAAATGTGATACATAAATTACTTAAAAGTTAGATTTTATTTTTATGTGCATAAATGCTATTGTACAAAACCATTTCTTATAATGTATACATTTGTTCAGGTCTAAAGATTATTTATATTATTTATTGTTTATAAATGTGTGTACTTACAAATAAGTTCTAATTCTAGTTCCACATTTACCAGTATTATTATTGCCGACCAATTTCATGTAGAATATTATTGGTATCTGTGGGGTTTTAATTCGATTTCATCAATTCAATCTCCAAATAATTTTATCTTTGATTGCCAATGATGATATAAGTATTTGTTTTATTTTCAATAAAATAGTTAAATATTATTATTTAAGTATTATGTAATAATATATTTTGAAATAATTATTGCTCCATGACTACAATTTCACCCAAAGAAAATATGACGTTACTAAATTATATTATTCAATAATTATAACATTTTGTATAATTTATGCAACGTGATGGTTATAATATATAAGTACAAAGCTAGTCAAAATTAATTGAATTTAAAAATAGCTGTTATTTTGAAGATTGAATTTTTTTTTTTTTTTGGTTATGTATTGTAAAACCAATCTTATTGAATTCTTATAAAATATTTAGTATTATGGGTAAATTATGTTATTGTTGACATTATTTTATTTTAAAACTGACATTTTATGTTAATGATATTTTCTGAAATGAGAGTACCAGTATAATTTATATTATTTAATAATAACAAACTTATTAATTGTGCTTAAATAATGAAATATTTTTCAATGTATTTTAAAAATTCGTTCTTAAAGTTCTACAAGTAATTAAATTATATGCTAGAAACGATTAATTACCATTTAAAATTGTTTAAAAAATACCAAGTTCAAGGCGATTTTAAATGTACATTTTATGTTTTATTTCGTAATATTATATTCAACGATTATTTTATTTGATCATAAATGTTGTTTATTATTTAACAAAGAATAACATATTGCAATTAATATATTATTATTATTATTTGGTATATGACTGTTGTATAAGTTCCTTATAATTTTTAATTATTAAGGGTTTTACATCATACAGCATATTTCATGTTTTGTGTGTGTGTGTGTGTGGAGCGCACGCGTGCGTGTGTGTGAACATGTTCAACTTCAATACTAAACACTTAACAAACATTTTTAATGATTTATAATTATTTACTTTGATTGTTTTAATTTACTTATATGTGATTAAATTATCAGAAGCATCATATAATAATTAAATTGGAATTTATGAATGTTTCACAGATTTCAAAGGTATTAGGTTGGTGTTTGTTTTAAAACAGTCTTAATCAACAATAATAATAAGTAGGTGTTGATGAGATATTAATTATTCCTAAGGGAATTAAACAGCTAATTGATGAAAGTGCAGTTGTGGCGTTGTGCAGGTAGGTAGTAGGTACCTACTCTTTCTTCTGAATATGGTCACCGTCCAGTACATAATGGCAGACAGTGCCGTCCCAAAGGAAGGGCAAACTGGGCACACGCCCAGGGCCTCGCGCTTCCAATGGCTTCGTGTATATACAATAATATAATACATCGTGTGAATGAAATATTTCCAAATATTTTAGCATATAATATTGTTGTCCAGGGCCTCTCAAACCTTGCGAACGGCACTGGAAATTTGGGATGTTATTTTAATATCAAAGGTGAATATTGTAGGATTATACAATAAATTCTAAATCACCAAAATAGTATCGAGAGTTTTTATAATTAATTTGGGGAAAATACTTGATTAATAACCTGTCATGATTGATTAATAAGTAATTACTAATTTTTTGTGTATTATGAATAAAAATATTTTACTAGTTACAAAACATAATAATGTACACTTGGTATAAATTACGAGTGTTAGGTTATACGTGGATGTATATATTTGCCAGTAGGTTAGGGGCGTCATTTTTTTTTTGGTGGGAGGGGATTGCAGGGTGTACATTTGCACCAACTTTTTTTAAAACGCCTTCTTTAGCCTGCCAGCAATAAATTTAAGCGCCGACCTGATAGTGTTATATTATATTATATATTTTTTATATTTTTTCAGGTTATAAAAAAAATATATTGTAAGAACTAATGTGTTTTATTTCCAAAAGTTATCGATGTGGTATTGTGGACTGTGGTAGTGTGGTACTGTGGCACTGTGCTAGTCTGTGCATTTGTTCCACTGTGGTCCGACCATGATAGACCATAGGTCTATGGGTTCGACAATATTATAGTTGATAAAAAGATAACAAAACCGTAATATATCATAATAATATCACAGATTATAGTATAACCTAACCTATAATCTGTGATAATATATTGCTACTGGTATTCATTTCTTATCACACTCCGGTATCTCCCTACTCGTTATATTGTGATAATTAGAAGGAAACATAATTTATAATTCCCATCAAAAGGAGAAACATTGTCTAAAATCATTACTCAAAATTATTTTTGATATTATAATTTAATAATTTATTATATCTTTAAGATATACGGTTTAATATCTACAACCGTAATTTTCTACGCTGCAAAGATACTATATAGTGTGTGATCTTATATCATATACAATGGATGGAGCTAAGTGTATATTTCTCGTATATCGAGCTGTGTCCAACATAACCCCCCGCCATCTATTTAATTTCAGGGAACAACGAATTATTGCGCATGCGTCATGTTGGTTATCAATCATTATCCATTGATAAGATATAAAAATAACTAGATGAGTGGTAAATTTGAATATTAATTACTAACGTTCAAGTACCTCCTACAACTTTGGTCTTCGAGTTAATTACTTACTTATCATAATTCATAATTAAAAATGCGTCGGCGATGTTGTTGTTTTTATCAGGTCTCGGCATTGAAAGTGCCAGGGTTAATATTGCAAAGACTAACTAATAATAATAATACCACTTATTTTCCTTATATTTATTTATAATCTCCCCCTTATTTTAAATAGTTCAGTGAAAATTTTGATGTTAAAATTTACTGTAAAATCAAAAATGTTGCTGGCCAAAATTTATTGCAATCTAATTGAAATTAGCTTGTGTAACAAGCTAAAATATAGCCTATAAACTCATTATCTAAAATAAACATTAATATTGCTATGATTATTGCTAAATGCTATTGTTGGTGTAATAACAATTTTGCATAGGTTTAGTAATTTGATCACAAGCTCTTTACTTTGAGTGGTGTTATAAACTATTTAGTTCTACTAGGTATGCTAGTATTAATATACTTATGAATAGTGTATAAATATAATCTCCAGTCTTTTATGACAGCAACGAAATCTAAACATAAAATCCATACCTAACAACACAATGAATTATGTTTTAAACTTAATTTTAATTTTAATTTTCCAAATGACTTGGCACTTCGAAACATTTGGCTAACATGTTGTGGACATACCGAAGAAGAATTTTCACCAAATAATAAATTATGCTCCCTACACTTTGATGAAAATTCTTATAAACCCACTAAATCCAGAAAGATATTAAAAAAACAATGCCATTCCAACTAAATTAAAAAAAAATTCTAAAAACAAATTTGGTAAGGAGAGATAGGAATGATTCAAATGTCTCTTTTCTAATAGATTAACTTATTTTAATTTAATTTTAGCAGACTAATAGCAGTTGAATGAGAACAGTCTTGTTTAGAGGTGGCAATGAACATGTCTGTTGAGAACATTTTAGGTACCTACTAATACTGTTATTAATATGGAATAAGTTATTTTTTTATATATTTAATTAATTTAAATGTTTTATTTAAGAAACACCAAGACGTACTAAGAGACATTGCTATATTGGTG